ATAGGCATGTGGGAAGGGCTATGTGTTGACCCCCAACAGGGGATTGTATGAATCTTCTTGCTTGTGTGGGATTGTGCAGGTGAGTGATGGCTAGAAATGCCTTGAGCGGGATAGGGGTGAGAGGAACTAGGCACCAAGAGTGAAAGGGAAGAGGGACAAAGGGGCTATGGGACCCTTGACATAGAGCCAATTCATGAAAATGACTTTTGCACTTGAGATTTGGAAGTGTGCTTGAGAGTGCAATCGTACCAAGGAAAATGTGATGTTGTATGTGCATGCATATGAGGACCCCGAAAAGACCAAGGGGCCTACTTCAATAAGGTGGGAAGCAAATTGTGAGATCCGATGGATGCGGAGAGGCGAGGGGGAGGACGCCCCGCCGCACCCCGATGACGCCATATAGCCAAAAGGCTTAGGGAAATGGTGCGTGGCCTAAGGATGACACTTAGTCTACGCACAAGAGAAGAGAAACGCTCAAAGAACCCCTGGACTGCCTGCGTATTGGAAGGAGCAATTGCTTGAGAACACAATAAAGAATAAATAAAAAAATCAGCGTTGCGGAACGACCAGTGAGACTACCACCCGGCGTGAGGGTTGAGCTACATCCCCAATGTCAAAGCTCTCTTGCGCGATGGCCCGCCCCCATCCATCTCAAAGCACTAGGTGGGGATGACCTTGGGGCGAACAGCCCGCGCCCTGAGCATGAGCGTGGGCGGGCCGAGCCAACTGGGACCCGCAGTGGGGTCGACTAAGGCTCGAAAGTCGCCCGGGGTTTGGCCCTACAACAAGTTCCACTGATCCGTGCGCGAGTGTCCCCCCCCCCCCCATCCTTTCGATCACCTCCCTTCTTATACTTCTTTCCTCACCCTGCCTCGCTTCCAGGTCGATCTTCCTTCCTCCCTATTCAACCAGTACCTCCCTCTCCCTCCCGATTTTTCGGGAATCCCGAAATTTATTCCAAATTTTGGTGGCCCGCTATTTTTCCTTCAAAAATTATCTTTGTCCTTTCGCTTCAGTCAGCGGGAATTGCTATCTGTGTCGTCCTTTTCCCTCCTCGGTGGTTCAACCTTCCCCTCTGATCCTCTCCCCCCATTCTCTCCGCCAATCATTGGTGCAAGACACTTACCAGGTTTGATATCTTCGCTCTCCGTCTCCTTCTCCTTGGCCAATCAAAGTGTCACTCTTGCGCCTTCAGGGATCGGGCGCACCTCCTTCCCACGTTTTGCTGGACTCCGCTGCCGGCTACTCCGTCGATTGCTTCCTCCTTCCCTCTTATCCTGCTTTTCTCGTGGCGCACCTTCTCTCTCTCCCACTTTGAGCGAGTCTTTCCTTACTTTCTCGCACTAGTATTCAGCTATCATCCGTACCTGCCCAACTTCCATGCCTAGGTGCGGGCAAATTTTCCCACCGGACTCCGCTCGATCTTTCCAGGCGCTTGCCAGTTACCAAGAAAAGTGATCAGTACCCGCCCAATTTCCATGCCTTGGTGCAGGCAAATCTCCCCACCGGACTCCGCTCGTTTCTAGGCGCTTGACAGTTATCAAGAAGAGTGCCTATGCGTCCCCCCTTCGTCAACCGTTTTGCCGAGTTCCAGTTTTTTGGTTCCCATCGGGCGTCCATCCACCCCGTCGGTCCTATTTACGCCCTCTCCCTTCCCCTTCGCTTGGTCGATCTCTCTATCCCCCCTCCTTGTTCGTCGATCTTCTTGAACTGCCCCTGTCGGATTTTTCCTGCCTTCCTCCCATATGCCGTTGGAAAAAAAACTGCTTCACTTTGACCCAGTCAGTGCTCCCCGATCATCACCGATCACAATACCGGTCAAAAGGGATCCAATCGTACTGGTTTCCGTATGATACCGCAGTGATCAAGTTGTATGTTGGTCGCCCGAATCGACCCACACCCGGTGTCGGCCGCCCCCCCCTTCCAGGTTCCTTCGTTTCTGGCTTCTATGCTTTGGCCCAAAGTTTGTCACCCCTCCCTGTTTTTCAAAACTCGGCCTTGAAAACTTTGATTATTGCAGTCTGCACGACCCCACTTGCAGGTGATATCCCGGTCATCCTCCCTGCTTGTCCGACGGTTAGTTCGGGGCTTAGATCCCCAAGATTCCCCCAAGAACCCTCAGTCATTAGCACCCAAATCTAAAAAATCATGTAAAAACAAAACAACCACAACATTTTCTTTTTCTTTTTGTTTCGAGGAGAGCATCCGGCTGGTAGACAGCCACCCGACACCGTTATCTCAAATGATCTCAAATGATCTCAAATGATCTCAAATGTTCCAAATATTCTTAATGATCTATACGATTCGATATGGGACGTTGGGCCCGGTTCCCAGCACGTGCTGCTCCCCAGGAATAGATTGGAGTATTTGCTTAAAAATAAAAAAAATTACTATGACAAGATTGTTCGGTCGGAGTTGCACCGACTGATCAGGAGGCTGAACCCTCGACAATCAGTGGGTCATGAACCCTTTGACCCTTGTTGAAGGCAGACTGTCCCGAAGCGGAACATAGCAGCGGGCGCCGGGCAGCATTCCTGCGGAGCACCAGGGAGCGCAATAGAGGCAACACGACTACACAACGCCAAAAATGACTGCAAGGAAGTTCAACGACACGGCACGCCAAACTCACAGCACGGCACCCAAGCAGTGAAGCACCAGGCAACACCACCAAGACAACCACACTGGAAGGGGCGAGAGGGCAAGCGGACAAGCAGCAGAGCGACCATGCTGAGGAGCACAAGGCAACCCCAATAGCAACCAAACTAAAGGGCGCGCAAGCAAAGGACCCGGAAGGCACAACCAGCGGACGAGCGGCAAGGCAGCGAAGCAGCGAAGCGCAAGGCAACGCCACAACCCGGTCACACCACACAGCGAAGACAACAACATGCCAAGAACGACCTGCGAGGCAAGCAGGACGGGCAGCAAGGCAATGGTGGAGCGCAAACAGGGTCGTCCACACATCCAACACGGAGCAAAGCAGCACATCACCTACTCACATCACGGGTGAACCCCAGACTGTTGGTTCCCACCACCCACTGAGCCAGGGAGACACTTCGACGAGCATCCGTCATCACCTACAGGCAACACAGACATCCTGAACCGAGCGCCCCCCTAAGAGTGCAGTTGGCGCTCCAAACGAGGAACTACCGACTGTTTGGCGCTACCTCAGGGTGCTTAGTTGGGCACACACAAAAATACTTAGAAAGAATTAGAGGGCAGAGGGAAGATAGGCAAAGGACCGACAGACGTAAAACCGATTGTGTGTGTGTGTGTGTGTGTGTGTGTGTGTGTGTGTGTGTGAACGCACGTGTGCCGGGGAGGGGAGGGAGGACCCCTCCCCTATGAAACACCCGCGGACACGTCCGGGGTCAAGCTCGGAGGGCGGACGTGATCACGGCCGCCGCGGCTCCAGCCGCGGTTGGGTGTGGCCGCGACTTTCAGGAATTTTTTGTGACCTTAAAATTTTTTCAAAAACAAAACAAAAAATATGGGGTTGTAAATCTTTTCGAGACCTAAATTGCGCAATTTTTTATTTTATTTTGTGACTCTGTCTTCGAATTTTAAAACTTCAAAAACTAATTTTCCTGAGGCAAAAGCTGTTTGTTTGTTTTTTCCCAAAAAAAAAACATGAAACGTATGTGATTTTTTATTTTCAATTAAGTAACGTTTTTGGATATGACAATAAGGCAAAAGTTGTTCAGTATATTTGTCTGCATAACATAGTTTTTTATCA